GCTGGATTAAAAGCAGAGGAAAGAGTGAAAATTGCTGAAAGATAAATCAATAATTTGACATACAATGTTACCATATTACTGGCAGAAAGAAGCAATGATTTGAAATTACACCCAATGAATGTCAAAGAAGAATATGTAAAAGCTGAACTGCAGCTGAAAAATAAGAAAAAGAACTATAGCAGAATCATATGACTGTCGTATCAACAATAAAGAACTCACACTGAGAATGAGTCAAGGTATGCAAAATCAATCAATTCAAACAGAGACTGCAGTTGAGAAATTTGAAGAAGACTGAGCCTTGGAAGGGCAGCAAGAACAGGTCATCAGCTGCAAGGATGTTTCACCGGAGGCCGAGGCCAAGATCCTCCATGCCACTGTACGCTCAGTCAGGGATGTGGAAGCTGGACAGTGAAGAAGGCTGACAGGAAGGCAGCAGATGCATTCGAAACATGGTGCTGGGGGAGAGCATTGCAAATACCCTGGACTAGCAGAAAGATGAACAAATGGTCCAAGATCAGATCAAGCCAGAACTTTCCCTAGAAGCAGAACTGGTGACCATGAGGCTGTTGTGCCCAGGTGGTGCTTATTCACAGTATTTGTATCCCACTCCACATCCAAGTAGGTTCTGAACTGGTGAACAGCACAACAGTTCCAAATTCTGTGTTTCCATGGAAGGAAGAGTGGGGCTCCTACTAGAAGACTCCACAGCTGTCTAGGTGGTGCTGATATAAGCTTCAGCGCTTCTCTCCTTTCTGCTGCTTTGACCGTCTCCCAGCTGTTCATTAGTGAAGTTGCAGCACCTGTCTCCAGCAGGGGCTTCTTGTTCCACACTGGGCAGCTGGGCTGGCGGAAAGAGGACACCAGTCTCCAGGTTCATGTCCAGTCTGTTTTTAAACCACCACAACATGTTTAGTATCACCACAGAATTTCTGGCTACCAGCCCACATGTGCCTCCAGCCTCTGCCCTGCTCTTGTTTGGCAGGTGCCTTTGGAAGGACCTGAAATTTTGGAATTATGAGCATCTGGGCTTTGAGGCTGCAGTTGGTTTGTAGTGTTCCAGCGGGCCCAGGACAGCAAGGAATGGGTTGCTGCTGACCTTCCTCCCCTACTTGCATTTGCTCAAGTACAACTTTCTCCCGATGGGCCAGGAAGGGTGAAGAGTTGTGCCAAGGGGAGAATAGCGGCTCCTGCCCCTTCCGAGGAGCCGTCTTTGAGTGATGGGCCACACACTTGGTTGCCTCAGGCACTTCCGTAGTAGGACTAAGGTGGAACCATAATTTTAGCATTAGCTTGTTAATTGTTTGTTTCAGCTTGTTTTCCTTTTGGAAGCAAGAAGTTTTTCTTTTCCAAGTGTAGGATTCCATATTTCTCCCTGCTTTTGGGATCCAATATAAAGGCTTTTTCTCCTTTGAAGCAACATGGGAGGAAAACATTCTGCTGAGTCTCTTAGCCAGTGGCAGTGGAATTGGTGGGCAGGTGCCACATGTGCTTGGGGAGCTCTTGAGCCTCTTAATGGCATGGCTTGGCTCGGCTCGTTGGGTTGTTATATTAATTGCTATTTTATTGTATATTTTTAAATGTTGCAACCCACCCACCCAGGGACCCTTATGGCTAATGGGGTGGGATAAAAATCAGACAAATAAATAAGCCCCTCTACCAAATGCACCCGGACTGGGATGTAACATCAAGCCCTGATTTCTTGCCAGTTCCTGGCGGTTCCCCACTGACCTCCTCCAGGATCGGGAGGAGGAATGGAGCAGAATTCTGCTTTGCTTTTGCTGATTCCTCACTGGCCACTGCGTGCAGGCTAAGAATGGTGGGTTAACGTGCACTCTACTCCAGCGTGTTAAAGAAACCAGGGTCTGCCATTGCCTAGTTTAGCAACTTAGTAAGGTTTAATTAAAGCCTCAGTTCCTGGTTCACATGTAGTGACATGTAATGTGCTGAAACAAAACTGAATTCTAGCTTATTCACCCATTTGTGGCAAGCAAGAGAGCTGGATGATTCACGCAGGAACTTTCGTGCTTGTGCTCACCAAGGAAACCCACCAGCATTATGTGCAAATGCTCTTTCAGCCTAAACAAAACAACAACAAGGTGTGTTTATGCCTCTGATTTAATGTAAAAGGCTCCACAGCTGTATAAAGAGTATTGTGTATGAACTTGTGTGGATGTGATAATGTGGGCAGAAGAGCGACTGAAAGGGGCTGTCCCTCTAGAGAAGGAAATTGTCCCTTACTTGGCATTAATGTAATTAGTTCAGCATGCTCTGCCAATTAGTTGCCAACTATAACTGGGTCACCCCCACCTTGATTTGATACTTTACCGTTTGCACTAGAATATGGGTTGCATTTGGCTGTTAATGGGAATAGGAACACAGTGACAGGAAAGAATGAGAAACGAGGACGGTGCCGGCTGGTGCGCAGCGGGAGCCATTTTCTAGCCCACTGTGTTTTGAGCAATGGTCCTTTGGTGCAGGCACTCCTTCTCCTGCGTTTCTCTGCTTGGGAACCGCATTTCCCCCAACTCTGTGCTGTCCCTACTGCAACTGAGATTAACAATGCATCTTTGCCTCCCTCTTGTGTCCCACCGACCTTCCACGGTGGGACTCACAGCAGCATGGATTGGGCTTGCAGGCAGGCAGGCCTCTCAGCACGCGTATACAGGCACACACACACACTCTGGACCTGCTTAGCCTCAGGAGGGCTTTGCCATGAGGAACACTGAAGCAGCCTTAGACTGGGCCAGGCCCTCGTTCAGCACTTGGCGGACTCTCAGGCAGAACTCCTTTTGAACCATATTTAGAGATGCTCCTGGGAACTTCCGCGTGGCGAGCATGCACACTTCCTCTGAGCTATAGACTTTCCTGTGAAGGGAATATGGCTTTTCCTGTCCTCACAGACTGCTCTGTAAGTCTGCCTCAGCACTATCAACACCAGCGGTGCACAGAAGGTTGGTCTCCAGTTGTTTGAACCTCGCATCCTGGAAGCTCCTGTCTGGACAACCACTAGTCAAGAAAGCTGGGAGTGGGTCCAAAATATCTAGAGCTGACCCCAGGCCACAAGGATTAGGAGCAGTGCTCCTGGGTTCCAGACCCGGAGATGGAATGTAGGGCCTTCTCTCAGTGGGTCTGGCTGCCCCCAGTAGGCTGCCTTCCACCTGTGTCTGGACTTCTGTCTGGACAAAGTAGGCTTTGGAGCATAAAAAGCTGATGCCACTATAAATTTGTTCCTCAGTCTTAAAGGATCACCAGAGGCCCTTGATTACCCAGGGAGGGGGAGGGCTCCCCCCCACTGAAGGCATTCATGGGGCAGTTGGAACCCCTGTCAGAGATGCTTGAAATGGAATCCTGCACTGAGCAGTGGGTTGGGCTCAGTGGCCTTAAGGGCCCCTTCCAGCTCTATTATTCTACAATTCTTTTTCATTTTTTTGAAAGGCTAGGGATAATATCTGAAGTCTGTGATGCCTGCCTGCCCCCTAAACATATGTGTGTCCATACTGGTTTTGTATTTTTCAAATTATTTTCAAGAAGAAAAAGGAAAGCATATATCATGTGTGATAGATGTTAAATTACCAAGATACATCCTTTCAGTGACAATGTTGGCAGTATATTTATTTCCGCAGGTAATAAGCACATGCAGAAAAGATTTTAAATCACCAAAAACATGTTTTTCCAGTAACAATTGTATTCCAGTAACTGAGAAACACATTTCATTTCTCTGCGAAGTCTTCTAGAGTATGGCCTCTATTATGTTACTTTATTAGTTCCGTCAATTTTGACAATATGAAGAATTTTCCTCAGCCAGCGGGAGGCAGAGGGCACAGCATCTATTCTCCAATATGGAGCCCAAATGTTATTGTTGCGAGTTGCACACGTTCTGAATTGATGTCAATGAATCTCCCTTTACATTCAGTAATGTTGTCAGTGGTTAATGAGTTACAGGGTAGTCAAAATCAGCTAAATTACTTCCAATACAATCTTCTAATATCATTGTTCTTTTGTTCATTTCTGCCACAAATGACAAAAATCAGTTCTGACAGCCTGAAAGCCCAACATTTGAAAATCTTTGTTTAACCAATATGAGTACAATATTCCTATTCATATATTCTCCAACAATATAAAAGTTGCATGATCCTTTCACTGAGGATATCTCAGTCCTAAATAAGATGGAATACCCTATGTGGGAGGGGCAGTCCCTCGGCCTGCTGAGAACTGAGCATGCTCCACGGCCACGGAAGGCTTTGCGTAGGGAATGGATGGCTTGTCTTGGGACCTGCTGCATCTGAGGAACACCGCAGAGCCACTGTGTCTTCACAGAACCAGCCTGTGGCCCCTTTTCCTGTCTCCACAGACTTTTCACAAGTTCTCGTGCCTTCTCCACACCTTGGTTTGCAGTGCAGCCTCTCCCAAAGTTGCTGCCTTTGGCCGGCAGCAACTACCTCCTCCTCCTGCAAGGCCTGAAGTCACCTTGAAGGGGGAGCATTCCCACGCTAGCAGGCTGGCCCTGCTGCCTGACTTTTCAAGTGTTTGGGAAGGTGCTTATTTTTATGGTTTGGTTTTCGCCTAGGCCACTGCTCTTTGGTGAATTGCATCAATTCAACTGCTTTGAGAATTTTGCTTTTAAGTGGAAAACAATACATGCAGGAATGCTATAAATATGCTCAAATGGAAATAGTGGGGGAATGGAGAAGGCAGTGGCCATCTTGCATTTTTTGTTCCTTTTTATTTGATCCAAACAAACTATAATGATATTTATACAAAATAGCTCATGTTGCACCCATCCCAGGTTATTCTTCAGAGGAAATGCTCTTTGTATGAAGAGGTATGGCTCCTTGGAGGCTCGAGCTTATAACCCTCTGGTATTATGTTGACATAACGGCAAGCCTTCCGAAGGCCTGCTTGTGAGGCAAGTGGGACTTAAATGGGTCCTGTCCATCCTTGGAATGGATCGTGGAGGACTGGTTTGCCCAAAGCACTGTGCCATGTGCTTCTCTTTGCAGGGGACTTCTTGCAGAAGCCACGGCTCATGAAGACCATAACATGGTACTTGGAGAGGCTCTCCATTCACCTGTACCCTTCATTAGAGAAATTTGAGGAGGAGCTGCTGGACCTACTCATGAGTGATCAGGTACTTTCTAAGATACTGCGAAGGTTCCAAGTGCAAAGAAAGAAAGGAAGAGAACTTTGGGCAGCCAGAAGCGTGTTTTCATTAGCCCATCATGTTTCAGATGAAAACTTTGTTTTTAGACATAACCAATTGCAGTCTCCGGTCACCAGAAAGAAAATGATTCACTCCTGGATTATAAACACGAGGAGAGTACATAATTCCAGTGGTGACTGAGACAATTTGCTCCCTGAAGCTTGCCCTGAATAATAATTTCTTTCTTGCTTTGTATATATCTGCAATTCCAGAACAGTAATTTAAACAGGAATACATACCTCTCTCACACCACGGTGGAGAAGACTGGCCAGGTGACCTCCTCCTACCTGCCTTCTGGCCATGTGCACCTTCAAGGGCAAGTTCAAGGCCCCCCAGGCAGCACCACTGTTGTCCCTTGATTTTATGCCACCCTAGGAGTGGACATCCCTTCAAATGGAGATCCCCTTCAGATAGAGGACTGTCCTCTGCCAGTGTTCCAAAACAAAGGACTGCCCTTAGTGAAGCAGGACACTTGACTTGCCACCAACCCTTTAAAAAGTCTTGCAGCCACATTCAGATGCTGATTCTTTCGATCATCTGTCCCAATCTCCCACCTCCCCCAGTTGCAGGTAAGGCTAGCCCTGCATGGTCCAAGCTAAGAAAATGCTAAAAATTAGAAGCCAGGTAGTCTAGTTTCTGGAAGAGCAAGCTTCTGTGGCCTGTCTTGGTTTTGCAACCCAAACCGATTTCCATAGTGCCACTTACTTTGCGTCCTTTATTCTGCAGTTGCCAGTATTCTAGATATTTATTCTGGGTGTGCCCATCTTTACACATTTGAGGAAACTCCACTCGGCCGCTAGGACACAGGTGGACCCTGCTTCTCGAGAGGCTGAACTCAGAGGCTTCCGAGTTTCCTTTGCTTTGTCCAGTGGAAGCCAGCAAAGAGGGAGGAGTGGCAGAGGCGAGCTTTCCTGAGTCTTTCCCGATCTTCCTGAGGGCACTAGAGAAGGAGCGAAGGAGGCTGGAAGAGCCCCACAACCACTGGCACCCTGTCCCCCCACCCCCAGCCACCTGCTCACCAGAATACCCTGCTCCCCCCTCTCCAAGACCGCTCTTCCAAACTCAGAGACGGACCAGCATGACTTGCTTTGTGCTGGCTGTAAAGAGCAGGGGTCGGGTCAGGCCTCCGGTGCCCCCTTCTGAGGTCAGAGCATCATCGCCAACATCAGAGGCATTTTCCAAGCCATCCTGTGCTCCCTGGATGCTCAGTCAGGAAGCATAAAATTGCTCTTTTAAGACCTTATCCTGCTGCCATTCCTGGCTTCTTCCAGCTTCCTGCAGTGCCTACTGCATTTTCTAGTTATCATCTAGAAATGATGTCTGGTCTATAAGGACTACAAACCTTTATGAAAATAAAACAAATTTTCAGGAAGTAAATTGCTGGATTTCCTGTATCCACCAGTAGCAGACAGTGAAAAATGATGGATCATTTCCAAGAGGAATGGAACTCCTGTTATCTGGACAGTAACAATGTGTTTGCTTGTTTGCCCGCATATGAATTGCTTTAGAGGCTGCATTTTTCCTCTCCCTGGGAGTCATTTTATTGCCTTAGTTTTCCTTCTGATTAAGAGACAGATCTGCTCAGCTTTCTTGTGGCTGTTTTTCTGGAATGAGCAAGCTCTAATGAGCTTCATTGTGGGCAAGCTGCCTTTGAGTAATGGGCACACAGTGCAGCTTCTAAGTTTTAATGTTTGTGTTGGTGCGCGTGTAATTTAGGAAGCAATAATGACCCCGAGGATGAGCTGTGTTGATTTGTCAGATATGCAGTGGATTTTCAGAGCGGGAAGATGAAACACTTTAATATCCAGCAATCACTCTGGGGCAGCTTTCATTTTTATTAGTTTATGACAGATAAACTAATAAAACGTGGGGTTCAAAATGCAACTGTGCTTGATAAGTTGCTGTGCCCATAATCTTGGGCTTTTCCAGTGGACCTGAAGAGAGAGAAAGCAGGAGGTTCAAATGGGAAGCTGTGGCTCAGGTCTCACCATTACCGTTCAGGGAAAGGTGCCAGCGGAGCGTGTGAGCAGAGAAGTCCTGAGCACATGGTCCCCTTGGCTGGGCTTTTGTGAGAACATGGGAGGGGGTGGGAAAGCCATGATCCTCCAGACATTGGAGGCCTGCAAGTCCCATCAGCCCTAGTCAGCGTGGGAAATGGCAAGGGATCATGGGAGCTGCAGGCCAACAACATCTGGGGGTCCACGCGTTCTCTGTCCTAGAATCACTCAGTTGGAGGCATTCTTGGAGACATCTCTCTGGGCCAGCAACCAGCCTGTACACTGTTGGAAACCGGGTGGCCAACCAGCCCCTGTCCAAAGATCTCAGCAGCAAGGGAGACCCTGCCGCCCTCTCCATGGCCCACTTGGATGTCCCATCGAGAATTCTGCCCTGCGTCAAGCCACAAGCGACCCTTTTGTAGCTTAAGTCTGTGAATCTGGCCTGTCCTCCAGGGGTGCAGATATTTTTCTCACTCCCTCAGTCACTCCATCTGGACTATTGCCACAATATTAATATTACACTCCTACAATTTATAGACCTGTTGTAAATATTACTAAGATTGCTCTCTGTATGCTTTTACCTTAGGCATCTGCATTTTACCTTTTCATTTCATTGAGATTCACAATGGTTGAGCAATGTTGCAACTAAATGAGTGACTTGATGTGGAACGCAGTTCAAACGGATGTTCCTAAGATTATCATGAGCTGCAATATCCAATAAAACCGAGCAGGAGATTAAACAACTTCAGCAGGAGCCTCCTGCAGAGCGCCTCTCCTTGTTCGGGAAAAGTGCAGGTGATCCACCAGGGTAGCCTGGGACAGAATCTTTAAAGAACAGGCGCTCAGCAGGCCTCTCTCGGGGGGGAGTTGTGTGACTGGAGGACCGGAGAAGAAGTCTGGTTCCCGGATGCTGCCCATCTACCCATCCAAAGTGGGGTTCCAGACAAGGGTCTGTGTAGATGGTCTCTGTGTCCTGGCAAGTTTTCTATGGGAGCAAGTCCTCCCTGGTCAGGGCTCTCCGAGTCCTTCCATGGGATCACAGGAAGCAGCTCTTAGACAGACTGTGGGCTTATTTCCCCCAGTACACGCAAAGCAGTGCCTGGGCAGGATCTCCAACAGAGAGAGAGAAGCGGGGGCGGTTTCCCATCCACCTGTTGCCTTGTATGTATTTTAGCTGATTAATATGTATCAATATGTCATTTGCCGGTTCTCCTGTGGCGTGCCTTGGTTGGGCTGCTCCGTGCAACTTGAGGCACACCTGAGGCAGCTGTGGATCTCCCCAGGGCAACGTTGCATCGGATGAGAGCGCCCTCGCCGTGCAGGAGCGGCGACTGCACGTCGGTGTGCACAATGGCTACTGTTTCGTGCAGCCCCCGCAGGTGGTGGTGCTGGTGCCCGAGGCGGAGGTGGCGCGGGGGCGCCCCAGCAGCTTGCACTGGAAGCAAGGGGCCACCCTCCAAACCAGGTGAGTGGAGAGATGCCCTGGTCCCTGAGGAGGAAATGCCTCGCTCTGTAGGGCACAGGGAGGGATTGGGCCGGTTGCAGGGGGCCCACATGAGCAGAGGGCTATCCTTTGCCTCTGCTGCCTCAAAGGGGATGCACTGCTTCACCTGTCCCCTTTTATTCAGACATGTCCGTTCCTCTTGCATTCGTTGTCAGAGTGTTTGTGGGCCCAGTTTAAACGTTCTGATCTTGGTCTTGAAAGCCCGGTAGGGTTGGGTCCGGCTTGCCCTCAGCCAGCCACTGAGACCATTCTCAGGCATGTCTCTTTGCCTGTCCTGACTTGTTCTGAGTTGCACGCGGCAGGCCTCAATGATAGCAGCCTTCAGGCGGGCCACAAAGACTCTGCTGCTTACCTTGACCTGCAAGTGAATTGGAATTCTGCCGTGAAACCACGGTGCCAGCAGCACTCTCTGGCTTAATTCTGATTTTATCACTGTGTTTATTATGGTATCACTGATACCAATGAGACAAACTCTGATCGGGAGCTTTGCTTAAGGGTGTGCCTGAAGAACGTAAAGATCAACATTAGTACTTGAATTGGGTCCTGAAAATGCATTGTCAAGGGGTGCAGCTTCATAAAGGGCTTCTGTGTTTGCTTTGACTAGCACTGGGCAGGCATCTGGAGGCCACATGTGGATCTCTTGTAATTTCCCAAAGTCGTGGCCTGTGCAGCCGACTATAGGAGTCCACAAACTGGGGAGACATATCTCATGGTGGCCAAGTCCCCATTTCCTAGGGCAGGGCAGAACCTGGCCTAGCAGGAGAAGGAGCTTCCTTCTTCACTGCTATCGCCCATGAATTCAGCAGCAGCACTGGACTTCGAAAGGATCTTGGAAAGCAATGGAAAGCAACATGCCAGGGAGGAGCAGTATCCTGGGCTTCTGATGACTGCTGTCATCCTGTGGAGCCCGGGTGATGGAGAGGAATCAGCGAAATCACTTGACCAGAAGCAGAGGTTCCCAGACGTTGCTTTATGGGTCCAGAAGCCAATAGTTTTTCCTTTTTTGATGGAAATTAAGACAAATGAAAGATAACTGCCCAGGGCTATAAAACACGCCTAAAGTTCGGTGTGTGTGGTTAGCTGCCTTTCAGTAAAGGAGATCCATCTCCTTGTCACTGTTCCTTTTGTGGCCTTCCAAACACAGTTCAGAGGGACAAGCTCTTGTCTTGCGAAGCCGCATCCACTTGGCAGAGATGGTCCGTCATCCGGCGTTTGGAGTGATCTTCCTGTTGGAATATGTCTTCTCTGTGGCAGGTGGATCAGATGGGAAGGTAAGAATTCCATTTTGGGCCAGTATCTGTTAGTGCACATTAAGTGATGGTGCTCATAAAATACACAGGGCCATTTTTGCACATAGTACTTGGTGTATATTAACCATGATTTCTCACGTTAACCATGAATTGTCAAGCAAAGAAATTGCAGCTTGTTTGTCCATGTCTCTGTTTTGTTTCTCTTCTGCCCATTTTGGTAATCCCTGAAGTGGTTACACTTCCAGGCTGTTCTTCCTGGATGCTTCTGTTTCAAGGTGGGAGGGAGTACAAAAAAGCTATGGTTTTGCATTTAGACATCAGGACGCTATAGTTTAAGCAAGCAAATTTTGGTACGCCAACAACAAACCATGGTTTCTGTTCATGGCTTGTAGCTGGTTGAACAACTGTGGTTGCTTTGTGGGCATCATAGAGAATCATAGAATAGTACAGTTGGAAGGGGCTAAGAGGGCCATCAGGTCCAACCGCCTGCTGTTGCAAGTCACTAGTTTACACCATCCAGACACAACAAAAATGGTTCTCGTACAATATGCCGTGGCTGCATGTGCAGACCAGACCAGTAGATCATGCTTGGAGCATCCGTGCCAGAGCATGGATGCCGCTGTCTCTGCGTTGGGCATTGAAGAAAAGCAAATGCTGGTGCTGGTCCGATGAGCATGCGCAGGTGGCATGTCCGTATTGCTGGGCCAGTCCGCTCTCCGGCCTCACAGCGAACCCGGCACTCCTCTTGCCTCGTGTTCCAGTCTTCCATGCGTTTCCAAAGCTGCCCAGGTGCCGCCATGCCATTTGCATGTGGTGAAGGTGCAGAATGCAGAACCATGTTCAGAGGCTGGCCTGTGAGAGCAGCAGCCTGTCCTCTTCTTGACACTTTTATGTGCAGCTTCCTCATAGAAGTCTCCAGGTTTCTAGCCCTTTGGGCCCCTCCAGATGCGTTGGAAAGTGTGCTGTCAGGTCCTGCTGAAAGCCCTGGAGCCCGCAGCAGTTGTGGGATTGGGGTGGGCCAGGGAGGGAGGGGGGGCTGAATAAGGTTTCCAGTGAGGGGGTTGGAACATCAGTGCCCTCCTCTCAATGTCTAACAGAAGTGTACGTGTGCAAAATCAAATGAACATTGCAAGCAAATTGAGCAAATGTTCATAATTTATAAACGTTGCAGAATGTGCACATCTTGGTGCAGCTATTTTAAAGCTAGTTTTCAAGGATACTTTACATGGAAAAATATTGTAAGTATAATAACAAAAAATAGATCAAATAATACAATAAAACTCTGGCAACATTAAACCCAAGGAGACAGCCTAAAAACAACCTCATATCAATTTTTTGTTTCGGGTGCCGGGGAGGCCCAAAACATGGAGTCCATCATGCTTGCTGCAGCGTATTTCTTGGGCAGTCACCCCAGTTGTCTTGGTTAACTGGCATCATTTTTGCCATTTCTGTAATGAATCCTTGAAGAGCATAAAATCTAAGTCTGATAGGCCATTAAGCCATGGGCTAATGAGAAGGACTTCCATGTTCCCTGTTATCATGGCAACAGGTGAGTCACTCCTTTCAGTCTCTTTCTGTCTGACCTGCAATTAGTGCTGATGTATTATAGGTACGAGTCGCCTGTTGAAGCTGTTCCTCACGAAAAGATGAACATGTGCAGCCTTTTGAAAACACAGCTTCATGCTCTCTTTCCTTTCTGGTGCTTATAACGGTTCACTTGCAGGTCAAATAGAAACAAACTTTGCTCACCCTTTGTGTAGGCTCTTGACTAAGGTTTTTGATTAAGAAAACAGGCAGACCAGTGTTTAAAACCATCGCTAGAGTAAAAATGACTTCCCAATTTTTTATTAGCAAAACAGCACCAAACAAGACTCCCATCTTTTGTTTTGTTTTGTTTTGTTTTGTTTTGTTTTGTTTTGTTTTGTTTTGTGGAGGGTAACATTCTTTGCAAACACAACCAAAAAACAAAAAGGAGTCTCTTCTTGAAAGAGTCTTACCCTTATTTTCCCTCACTTGCACCTAAGGGTTTCCCCACCCAGTCCACCAGTTTCTTCCCAGTTCCTTCCCTGCCTCCCAGCGGGGAGAAGCTCTTCTCTCCAGCAGTTTGGTGCCTGGGGTGCTCTTTGACACTACCGCTGAGTGATTCATTCCTGCTTACTTTTGAACAGACATAAAGAAGGCCCATCTTGCTTCTCATAATCACGATCCATTTAGTTGCATGCCACTTTTCCACCATCAGTCCATGCTCAAAACAGTTTGTGGCAGCATTAAAAATGTGACAATGACGGTCCTATGTATTTCCTTGGAGGGAATTTGCTGTTCAAGGCAGCTGGGACAACATGTGGGCATTGGGGAGGGCCTCACCCACAGCTGGCATTCAACCCCCAATGCCAGTGTGCCTGCCTGAAGCCCCCAAGCAGAAAAATGCACCCTTCCCCTGAACTTTTTTGAAAAAACTTCTGGTGTGGCCAGAGAACAATTCTAATAAGCTTGCCATGGTGCCAGGATTTGATGGCACTTTTGCTGTATTGATCTGACTGGTGCATATTTTGTAAAAAATTGTGACCTTTATAGGTTCCATGATCGGAAGAAATGTGAGGGCGAAGTGCAGTGGGGAGGCCTTTGTGCAGGCAAGAGGGAGCCGGATGGCAGGGCTTGCTTTGGGAGACCCTTTTCTGGTGTCATAACGGAAAGGCTTCCGTGCTGCTGGTCGGCCACTGTCAGGAGGCCCTTCTTCCTCATCTGGCAGTGGCATGTTTGCGGGATGGAGAATGGCTGTGGAGATTTACAGCATGTCACACGGCTTATATGCATTGCACAATATGTTCCAATTGATTTTTAAGTCCTTTTAAAATTATTTAAGACTGGTAAGCGGATGTGAAACTTGCTGCTTTCCCTGACCTGTGCCAGATGGTTCCGTCGCAGTTCATAAATCTGTACCAAGAGGCATTGTCTTAATTGAGTGCCAGTGCCCACCAAAGTGTTCCTCCGGCCGCAAAGGGGTGTGCGCACATGCGTGTGGAGGATTCCTTCACAATGGCAGAGGTCGGCCAGGGTAGTTCCTGTGGGTGCATTCAAAATGTAGGTTAGACATCCTTAGGGCGCTGCTTGTTCTCGTTCCTGCTATGGCAGCTGTAGCCTTTGGAGCTGTGGGTACCCACTGGCTGTAGGACCTGCCCATCAGTGCTGAGTCCCAGGTGGCCACTCCTCCTTCCCCAAGCCCCGCCTTCTTTTCTCCAGCAGCCAGTCGTTTGGCGGGCTCCTGCCTTCTCTGCAGAGGCCGACATTCCTCTGTGAGGACATAGCCTCTGGGGCGCTGTGTCAAAGGAGACAGGCGTCTGGGACCTTTCGGGCCGGCCCCTTTTGCCTCCAGGCCCACCCGTCACTTCACAGCTTCTTTGAATGCAGTGTTTTTCCTCAACCTGCCTCCCTCCGGATGTGCTGGACTGCAAGGGTCGCATGGCACCTCAGGAGCTGCGTGTGTTGGACTAGACCACAAAAAGGGTGCGTGAGCAATGCTGAATTTGGGCCTCAGAAGCTGAGATGGGAGGAGTGAGGAGCGAGGAACAGCCTGGGCCCCACTGCCTCTCCCCAGGACTGGCAGCGGACCAATTATGTTTCCCTTGTGTGGAAAGTGCAGAACAAGCTGCCCAGTTTTTGGGAGTCAGGGGAAAATTGCTGCATTGGACCATTGGGCCTGTCCTAGGACCAGCACAGCAGCAGCAGCAACGTAAGGGAATGGATAGGAACAGGTGCTGCATGTGCCAGCGGCAGGATTCTGGTTTGCTGGTTAGGTTGGCAAATAAAGAGAGACTGCATGCAGCTCAGATAAGATTCCAAAAGGGTTGACATACAAGGGCAACCTTCTCCAACTTGGTGCCATCCAGATGTGCTGAACCGCATGTCCCACCCTGGCTAGGATTGATGAGAGTTGTAGTCCTAACAGAAACAGAGACATTCTGCAAAGCAAGGGCTGTACCATTCTGTTATGACCCTACCCTGAAATTCCAGATGCTGGTGATAAACAAAGAGGGAAGTTGCCTCCGTGCTTATGGGCTCTCCAGTCCCCTGATTCAGAACTGGGAAAGTCCCTTCTCTCTGCTCCCTAAGGTGCAGTCCCCCTCGCTGGCTGCAGAGGGCCGTGGAAGGCCTCCATTCTCTGAGCCATGCTCTGGACCAGGAGATGTGCTGGAGCAGCACAGGGGCAGGTTGCCGTGTTCCACCAGGAACCCATCCTCTGTCCTGGATGCTGCTCAGGTGAGCAGGTTCTCTGGGGCCCGATGGCTGGTCACATCTGGAACTTCCATTATGTTTTTGGCTAGTGGCCGATGATGTCGGAGCAGGGGCGCTAACAGGTCATTCCAGCGGAGCCCAGAAGCACCTGGCAGGCGTCTACTGTTGTGGGGGCATAAGACGAGCCCGGCTGGATCCGACCAAAGAGGCCCATCTGGTCCAGTACTCTGTGCACACAGTGGCCGAACAGCTACCCACAGGATCCCTCAGGCCAGGCAGGAGCACCTCCGCACCCTCCTGCCCATGTTCCCCTGCAGCTGATCCACACAGGGGAGCCGCCTCTGTCCCTGGCTGTAGCATCAAGCTGTCAGGGCTAGTGGCCATCACAGATATTTTCCTCCGAATCTGTCTGATCTTTTAAAGCCGTCCAAACTGGTGGTCATCATGAGATCCTGTGGAAGCAAATTCTGTAGTTTGGCCATACTTCGTGTGAATAAGCGCCTTCTTTTCCCTCTTCTGAATCTGTGATTCTATGACTCTTCCACCAGTCAGCTTCAGGGGATGACTCCTTTGGATTTTAGTGTCAGGAGAGAGAAGGAAAACTGTCCTTCTATCCATTTTTCCACACCAGGCATGATTCTGTAGACCTATTGCTGTGTCCTTGCTTTTTTTCGATGCTAAACAGTCCCAGCACTGATCAGCAGATTCCCCAAGAGGCAGGTGCTGGAAGAAGCAGCACACCTGGTGTTGTCTCCCCAGCATCTATTGTAGAGCTCTCCTATGTGGAA